CATGGTGACAAATACGTCCTTACAAATAGCAATACATCAGCCAAGAAAGACTTAAAGATGTTATACAACTAAAATTAGTTAACATTGTTGTTTTCTCGGTCTGCCCACATCTGATCTCGCCAAATTCTTTTGCACTGAAATTAACCATAGCAGCATGCTCATTTGCTTGGCCAATGCGTGTGGAAGCATGGTTGTAGCTTGGCCAATTAGTATCCTCTATGAAGAACTCATCACGCCCATCTTGTATGACCCAATTGTGAATAATGCAGCAAGCACAAACAATATCTACTTGTGTTGGAAAAGGGAAGAATGGAGTAGCATCATTAAGAATTTTGAATCTCCTCTTTAGTGCCCCAAATGCCCGCTCTACTATGACACGTAGTGATGAGTGCGTTGAACAATTCCTTCTCATTTTGCACTGGATTACTTCCCCATTCGTTTAAGTGGTACCGAACTCCACGAAAGGGGGGCAAAAATCCTGGTTTGGCTCCATATCCAGCATCGACTAGGTAGAATTTGCCTATCATTTGAAATTTGGTCATAATACTATAAACTAAAATTTGTATGTAAAAGTTGAGAGTTTACTACTCTATTACCTTGTGGGACACGAAGGCCATTCTCACGTTCTAAAGCATCACGTAAAACTAGAGCATCATGTGCAGCCCCTTCCCAACCAGCCAACACATAGGTGAACCGTAGATCAAAATCAACAGCTGCCATTACATTTTGTGTGCAAAATGATTTTCTACCACGAAGGCATGTTCAATGTTCTTAGGAACAGATGCTCTTACATGAGTACCATCAATAGCTCCAATACAATCCTGTTTTTTTCAAAAAGGTAAAGATTAGGGACCATATGAGGTTAGATTAATACAAAATTCAAAACAAAATAGGGATAAGCCTCCCACCTTAAAGTAAGGATCCCATATGTTGTTCCCTGCAATTTTGCTTGGAGTGTCCAAAGACGGGGGCCTAATTAGTTCCCCTCGCAGCTCTCCAATAGCACAGAGTACTTTGTTGAAATAGCGGCTAACTGTTTCTCCCGATCTATCAAAATTAGTTCCAACTAACCTATTTCTAAGGTTATGTCCCACTGTATTTAGAAACATACCCACCTGTTGCTCAACACACAAGTTACATGTATCTTGAAGCAAACCACGCTCTCTAAAAAGATTGCAAAACCGAAAGAACTTGCCTCTATTAAGTCTTAACATGTTCAAGCAAGTTGTGTCATCCTTCCAAATTTTGTTATTTAGATAATCTACTCTTATCCTATCCCTTGCCTCCATAGGCCCATAGGTAATACCAACCCTTCTTCTACATCGTTTACGTTTCCTAGACTGAATAATCACCGCCATCATTGACAATAACATGTATGCAACAGCAGCACAAGTTACAATCTTGGTCCTCCTATCCATCTACAATACAAGAATGAACCATCACACAAGTACTCTTCAGCCATGGTCTGAATGGTAGTGCATGCTTTCTGTATTATTTGAAAACAACATCATGCTTATACTTGACAATTGAAGTATGTTTACATGAAGTATTATTTGAAATATACTTGACATTATATGCAACAGATCCACAAATATTTTTTAGACAGATTGGTCTTACCTTGGCAGGGGCAGGGCTGGCGCTGGAGGCTTGACTGCCCGGCACTGGAGGCTTGGCAGGGGCAGGCCCGGCGTTGGAAGCTTGGCAGGGGCAGGGCCGGTGCTGGAGGCGCCGCTTGGTAGGGGCGGTTCGGTCAGGGGCGGCGGTCAGGGGCGTGGCGGAGTTCAGGGGCCCGGCGGTGGTCAGGGGCCGACGGCGGTCAGGCACGACGGAGGGCAGGGATCCGCCGGATTTTTGAGGGGCGGCAGCGGCGGCGGCGAGATCTACTCCGGAGAAGCTGCGGGCGGGAGAGATGGGAGAGGAGAAAGTGCGGCGTGAGAGGGGCAGCGGATGGGGGCGGTGGCAGCACCGGTCAGGGGCGGCGGCGCTGCGCATGGCGCGTCGCGCCTGGCGTCGGGGTCGGGGGGGGGGGAGGGGGTGAGCGAGCGGTGATAGGATTGCGCGAGAGGAACTGGGTCGAAACGATCCCTCCGTTTTGGAGGATTCACCTGGACCCGGATCTAAGGGGAATATACCCATGTGGGTTCAACCCAACCTAGTTCTCTTTACAACCAAACGTGGGACGAAAGGGGTCCGACCCGTTCCAACCCCCTCCGACCCAGTAACCAAACACATGCTAAGTGATTAACTGATGGATGGATAACATTACTTTATATCTTTCCGACCTCCAGGACTGCTTATCTGTGGACCATAGAATCCATATATATCCTTATGCAATCTAGAATCCATACAGCAGGCGGCTAGCAGGCAATGGGAGGAAGACGGCAATGGAGAAAGTATGCATGGAACGCTTATCCGACGTTGATACTGTAGTACTAGTAGCAGCACGCACAACAGTGAGCAGCACACTTATCATATCATAACAAAAGTATAAAGGCAAGAGAAAGTTGTGGTATTAGTTGCATGAGGTGTAAAATGCATTGAGAGACATCACGAGACAGTGATGGTAGTTTGAAAGTTGACTAAACCGCACCAATGGCTATGGCTTGTAGTAGTTCTTGTGGGTGACATGGCTCGCACCGCCTTCAACCAATTAGATTAACAAGCAAATAAAGCGTGCTCGTGGAGAAAAAAAAAGGATTAAGCAAAAGGATGTCGCGAAAATGCAACGATTAATCTCCTATATGGCGTTGTCATGTTAAAGCTTCCAAATCTTATGCTCTAGCTCATCAAAAGATTAAACCAAAACGTTAGGTTGTCAAACTAACCATACATATGAAATTTTACTGTATGTATATAATAATAGACGAGTCAATGTTTATGACCCAAAATACCCATATGGCAGCGAGCCAGAGAAGGAAGCCCGAAACCGCACATATATTCCATTATTTCTTTGCACTGCCCACTACTACAAGTACTAGTAGGACTTGGATGTGCCGCGTGCCTAATCTCCCTTTCTCACAACTAAAAAGAACAAAACGTAAATACTTTTTTGTGTGACATTCTAACGTTGACCCATAGTTCTGCTTGGTGCGTTCCCGCAGCCTCTCTCCAACAAGCGGCGTCCCTTGCGATATTCAAAAGGAAAGAGCAGGAGCTATTTGTTTCGCCGTTTCCCCGTGATCGACGTTTCCACCCTTTGCGATATTCAAAAGGAAAGCACCCCGTGAATGGCCCTGCTCCGAGCAGTAACTGCTCAGCGTTCGTGGCCAACCAAACAAAAAGCCTGTATTCCCTCGCATGCAACCGATTGGCGCAATCCCTTCTTTCCAAAAAAACCCAGCGCCCAGAAGGTTTCCGAGAAACCACATCTCGCCAATCTCGCCAAAAAAAAAAAAAACCACGTCTTGCCAATCTCGCCTAGAAGAAAAGGAAACAGACAATCTGTTCAAAAAAACCCGCGCCCATAACGTTGACACGCAAAAAAAGGAAACAAACAATCAACGTGCCGGTCTCACGCGATTGCAGTTAGCACCTCCCGTGACCCCAGCTTAATGCACACGTGAAAAAACTTAGAAGGGGTAAAATTGCCATCGCCGTTCGCACTCGACGACGACGTCAACAACGATCTCTACTTCAAGCCGCCGACGCCAAGTCTGGTGCCATCGTCGTTGCCATGGCACCGCGACGTCACCCGCGTTCTGCTACCCCAAGCCTCCAGCGCCGACGTCTGTCTGTCCGCTACTGTGCCACCGCCATGACCTATCGACGTCAGCACCAAGCGATCTCCTACACCAAACCGCCGCCGTCCCGTGGCCACTCGACGTCAGCGGCAATTTGACGCCTGTCTGGTGCCGTCACGTGGCCACCCGACATTGACGGCAATCTGCTTCTCCTTCCATCGCTGGCTCGCCGCTCCTCGTGTTCTGCTTCTCGGTTAGACGACGTCTGTCTGGTGCCGTTGCGGTGGCCACCCAACATCGACGGCAATCAGTTTCTCCTGCCCTCGCCTGCCATCTGCTTCTCGGTCAGGCTGTACACAAGGCACGAAAGTCACAGGTAAGTGACGATATGCAAAGGAAATTAAATCCTACTTTTATGAAATGTCGTCGTAGCAATTACTTTCTCTTATCCACAAATTTTTTTATGCCTATAATCTATAAATATACATATTTGTTACTTTTGTTTTGATCCAGTATCCCAAACCACCAACCAAAAATTAACAGTTTTTTTTTTTGTCTATATAAACATGGATGCATCTATAAACCAACTGTCACAAAATCAATTGTTGCAAACCAAAGATTATGGTGACTGAGTGGAACAAAGTGAAGTTGGATAAGCGAATAGAGGTACAATAATTAACTTGCAAGGTTGAAGCTCAAGAAGAAACTGGACACGACAACAAATGAGCAGCAATAATTACCCAAGCATTCTCTTATAGAGCACAAGATCAGCAGCAATGCACAGTCATTATGTTAGTGTCTGCAAGTGCAGAGTTCCTATTTTAATTTTAGCAGCAATGCATAATCAGGCAAAGCAGCTCAGGCCTCCTTTTAATTTCTTTTTATTCAGTTCAACATTTCATCAGATGCAAAAAGGTCACTCATCAACAGACCCTTTTCTGCAGTATTCGTGATGATATTCAGTGAGGCCAAAGCAGCAACTAAACTGAATATTTGGCATCCATTTTGTATACTCTTAGTTTTAATCCATTGTGCCAAACCATCAACCCAAAATTAACGGTTTTTTTAGTCTATAAACTTGGATGCATCTATAAACCAATTGTGACAAAATCAATTGTTGCAAACCAAAGATTATGATGACTACCTGCAGAAAAGCCAATCTAGCCAGATTGCATCTAATATAATTTTATAAAGCTGATGGAACATCGCATTCCACCAAAGATGAAACAGAACGTAAACCACCGGTTCATGAGAACAATTTTTTAAAAGTATCACTAGATGGCAAAAGGGGGCAACTGTTGATAATGTAAAATCACTTTATCATTTATCTGTCTTGTAGTCAGCATAAAGGAAACATGATTTTAAATTTTGTTTCCATTCGCCATGAAGACTGTTTCTGAATTCAGTCATCCTGTGAACATAAAGGAAACAATATATAGTCAGAAAAGGCATATTAATTTCAATGGAATCTTAGAAAAAGGTGAGTTTTGTTTTAGAAAAAATCATATTAGTTTCATAAGTCGCTTAAACCTTAATGACATATTCCAAAACCGAAGTACCATACTCCTATTGAAGTTTCGAGATGATGACCAAAACAACATTTAAACCAAATATAATGGACCGCGTGCTAATCTTAAAATCCAAACTGCGAAAAACAGCTTTAGATTTTTCTTTTCTTCAAATTGTAGTAATGTGAAGTGTGATATTCTTAAAATTCACGTTCAGGTCTCAAGTGGATTAGAATTTCTAAACTATAATTCACAGTAGGCTATTGAATGTTCTTAATCACCTGTATGGTCACATGTACAAATCTGTGTCTTTTTACCTCCTTTCGCAGTGGGTGGTAACATGTATAACCAGCCAAGTCCTAGGATTGAAACACCGTAAATTCCTTTATGAAACATCTAAGAAATTTTGCCTATTAACTGGGATTCAAAAATTTCTGCACTTGTGTTGACGAATGCAATTGTGGAACAATGTGAGCATATGAGATAGATTGATAGTATATAGCTCAAACAACATACAAGAAATTCGCAGCTAAATTCTCCCAGAAAGAAAACACCCGCGAGCTCATCATATGGCTCACCTTGGTGACAGCTAAATCCTAGAAGTGCAGTAAGAAAGATCTGCTTCTCCTTCCCTTGCCACCTCTATGGTGCCATCGCCGTGGACACCCAACATCGATGGCAACCTGCTTCTCCTACCCTCGCCGCCTCCCACACAATCTGCTTCTCTACATGGGCATAGTCACAATAAATTGCACACACACAAGGTTGGACACTCTATATATACAAGGACTAGCAGTACCAAGAGACCATCATAAATGAATAACCAACAAGCAGTACTAGCAGTACAAGAAACAGATACAAGCTCTGGCAGCACGAGAAATAGATAAAACAACGAATTGGGAACAAGCAGGATCGGGATTGTAGGGTACTAATTATCATAATAACTACAAATAACAGCTGCTGACTATCACAAATGAATTAAATAAAGCTTCCGTACTCCAATCTGGCATCATTAACCTGCACAAAAACTAGTAGTGAACAAATTAAACTAAGTAATGGCAGTGCATTCCGACTTGGGAGGAAGGAGAAGCCATACCCTGAAGTGAGGGTGCCGGGTGCGGCGACCTGGGGATCTGGCGCCGTGGTACGCAGATGGGGGAGAGGATGAGGTCGGGGTGGATTGCCCTTCTTGCCAGAGAGTGCGATGAGGTCGGCGACGCCGCGCCCGCGCCTGGCGAAGGCGTCCATGAGGAGCGGGAACACTAGCTCCGGGCTGGGCAGGTCCATGGCGGGTGTCGTGGCGGCCCGTCTCGACTTGCCACAGCGAGCGGTGGAACTGGAAGGAGACGGCGTCGTGAGCCGCGAGAGCCACGACGTCCGCGCCGCCTCAGGTGCCGCCCACCTCGCCCTCTGCTGCAGCCTCGCCAGCCACCACTGCCGCAGCCGATGCGGCCGCGGCTTCCACTCCACCGCTCTGTTCGATTGGAGCGACCGGCCCAGCTCGATTCGCTATTTCGCTCGAGTGGAGCAATCGTGAAGCTCGATTCGCTATTTCGCTCAATTGGAGCAGGCTCTCTGCTCACCGGCCTCCGCCTAGCTCGATTGCGGAATGGATAAGGCAAAGCAACGATGTCTTTGTTCTTTTTTTAATAAAAAAAGAACGTGGGCCCCACTTGAACCCAAACCTTTCGGCATAGCAACAACTATCTACAAGTTCATTCGACCAAAAAGAACTAGAGTCTACAGCTCCGTTCGGCATTTCAAGGCACTGCTGCCTCGGCTGCCGCGGCAGTCTTTGTGAGCGTTGGGGTGAGCAGCCCATTAGGTTGTATTTTTTTTTCAGCAATATGGACTACTTTGCTAATGTCCTAAGGCTGTGTGAGAGTGAGTGTGATGGGAGCGGGGATTAAAAAGCCAAAAATATCTATGATTAAAAGATAAATAAAGTTGTCATAGAAACTATATATAATCAACCTTGTTTTATAAGCTACAGACCTGATTCATCTTTTTATATTTTAGTTATTCTTAGGTACATGGAACCTGTTGAAAATCACAATTCTGTACACTATTTAAAGACTTGACAAACAAGATCAACGAAGGTAACTACTGGTTCTTTTATATATATCAATGCTTTATAATGTAAGTAAATGATATTAATTAGTCTTTTGACTTTTACTTGCAAATCAATATCAACGCCTCCCTCGAGAGAGTGTACTACTGCTGCAAACGCCTCTCTGCATGGGGAGACGACTCCATTGCGAGATGAGTCGAGCGACACGGAAGGAGAATGTCGAAGGCGGCATGGAAGGAGAACGCCGTATGCGACTCTATTTCATGAACCTTACTTTTTGGATTAAATGTTACTTTAACGCCGGTATTTAATTTCATAATATTGTTATCTTATCGTGCAATCCGTGTATTTTTAGTATAAAAGTTTAGTTGTCCCGTAACAACGCACGCGCACGAACCTAGTAATAGGATAAAGAGTAGGAGTACTTTGGGCGTCCATGTCCATGGCCATTCGGATCACCACACCACCAAATAGCAAATAGCCTGTTGGGTGAAACGGACATCAAGCCCCACCCACCACGAGATCACAAACGTCAGGTCAAGCGCCACCCACCAAGAGCTTTATTGGCACAGGTGCGGTGCCAAAGAGCAAGACGACGAACAAGGCCACCGTTGAGAAATCAACGGAATAAAGAAAGAGGCAGAGCGAGAGGTGTCAATGGAAAGCGAAAGTCATGCCCAAAGGTCAACACCTCTCCGCTCCATGCAGCCCATACTGGCCGGGCCGCCCTCGACCCGCACTCAACGTCAAATAGCTTATTGGCAATGTAGGTATGAATGATACTACACTGCTTTGTGTTTGTGAAATCATTGGCATGTGCAACATGGGCACCCTCGTGGATCACGAGGGGGACGACATGGCACCGGGTCCTTGAGATCGATCTTGCATTGTGGGTGTACTTGTCTTTCCGAGATGCCTCCTTTTCCGAAATCTTATGGGATTCAGAGAGGAGGTAATGCGTGCAAGCCTACTACCGCTTGCATGTTGATGGAAAGAAGTCACTTTGGAGAGTGCAAGAATGGAAACAAGTCAAGACCAGCTCCAATAATGAGAAAAAAGGTGTTGTGGCCCAGGCCCAAACTCTCTCAGTAATTGTAATGTGTAAACCGTAATAACGCAAGACTATGATGGAGTTATCTAAAGAAAGATACTGAGTATTTTTTGTTGTTGTTGAAGAATTGAAGTGTCACCAACCTCCGATATGATATTATTACGAAGACAGATAGATATGCATGGTTGGTGTCTTGGTGAGCAGAAAGAACAGTCCTTGGAATATCAGGACCAGACTGACTCGAATCAACTCTCAAGAACCGAGAAAAGTATTATTATTCAAACTTCGAAGTCATCCTAAATGCTCATCTGCGACTAGGCCAAAAGTAGTTAAATCCAACATTTCATTTCCATCCATAGACATTAATTCATTTCCAGCCAATATGGCATCGTGATGTGGAGTAGATTGGTTTTATTTAGACCTCAGCGACACACTATGGCAAGTTCAATGATCTAGATGACACACTGAGACAAGTCAAGTCGTAGGTCTAAAAATAGCAATTCAAAAGTTTAGGACCTAGACGACACATAAAGACAAATTTGAGGACCTAAAAAATATTTTTTAACAGTTTAGGGATATGACACCTCCGGACAAGTTCACCGCCCTTGCATCTTTAAAGAAAATTACAACAATTAAGACACTACAGCCATGTAAAAAGATAAAATTCATCACATATTGATAGTTGATAAATAGCAGATTTAAGTCAAAAGCAAGAATTGCATGTCATGGTGTTCTTATAATCATGTCGGTAACAGAGTATAACGCTTAATGCACGAAATTCCAAATGTAATATAAAATACATGGCCATGAAATTTAAGTTTTCACATTAACTACAAAACAAACAAAGGTACAAAGTACCTTTTGCTGAGTAAGATCTGATGCAAAAAAAGGTACCTTGCCTTAACCTGGTTTGTTAGGCCAAAGAGTGAAAGGGAGGACACTTTTTGTCACCATCAGCGCTAGTGGAAACACAATAAGAATTTCAAAAGGGTAATGGGTGTGACAGATAAGCCTAGTGCGGGTTAGCACTTGTATCTTACTTTTCTACATTTTTTTTTGCTTTCAAGCCTTTGTAATAGGAATATACTCAGCATCCACTTTAGTGGTTAGAAAATATGCTGGAGCAAGTAGAAAGAAGATGCTGCCCTCTGCCCATAAAAGCAGGGGCACACCCTTGTATCAGGACAAGCCGTTGCATTTCCTTTCAATCCAAGCGGCCAAGGGCCAAGCTGCCCTCTAGTAATTCCCAACTCTGAATGTGAGATCTATTTGGGCCAACAATTGGTATCAGAGCCTTAGGCTTCTTGAGTGAGCGAGCGCCATGTCCACCGAGAGCCAGATCGTGAGAGCGCGCACCGCCGCCGGTGCGGTGATCAACCCCGGCGGTGACGCAGCAGGAGCCGAAGCCGGAGACCGTGCGACGGCCTTGCTGCTGCAGAGGCAGCGGCTGCGGCGCAGGCCGGGGTGGCTGCCGCTGCGGCGCTGTGCACCAAGATGGAGTGGGAGCCAGAGCCTGTTGGAGGATCGCGTAGCCCGGACGGGTGCTACCGTTAGTTGCCGTCAGCAGAGCGGCGTCGTGGTCGCCGCAGGCGCTCCCCGGTGCTGCAGACGGTCTACCGTGACTCGGAGCAGGAATGCCTTGACCGATGCTCACCAAGTCAAACTACCATGAGTGGAGCCTGCTGATGAAGAGCTATAGGGCCGACAGCCGTGGGAGGAGGTACACGTCAGCGGTGTCAGCTACGATGATTCGTCGGGCACTGGAGGCCCTATGCACCGCCGTCCCCACCAAGCTCGGCGCCTCGCTCGCCAACAAGGCCACGGCGAAGCTGGAGTGGGAATCGATCGCCATGGCGTGCTTCGGTGGAGATCGCGGGTGCCAGGAGATGTTGCAGCGCCTCCAAGTGGAGTGGGAAGGTCTCACCTTTTAGCCAGGTAAGTAAGTTGAGCACTTTGCCCTTCGCCTGACCAACCTGATGGAGCAGATGGCGCGCAATGGCGACACCGACCTCACGGAGGAGCGCAAAGTGGAAAAATTCCTCCACTGCATGCCGAAGAAGTATGTGTAGATCGTCATATCGATCGAGATGCTTCTTGGCTTCGAGAAGCTCACCATCGAGGACGTGACCGGGAGGCTCAAGGTGGTGCAGGACTGCGAAGAGGGGCCTCACGCCGAGCCAGGCGCCACCGGAGGCAAGCTACTATACACGATGGAGCAGTGGCGTGCCTTCGAGAAGAAGAAGAAGGAGGTAGGATCTAAACCATCTGGCTCCTCCAAGGAGCGTCGCCGGTGACCACACGGCGACAAGAAAAGGAGGAGAAGGGGCCCTAGGGCCAGGCAGGTGCTGATGGCTACACCGTCGGTGAGCACAAGGCGGCCCGGGATGACACCTGCAACAACTGTGGTAGGTCCGGCCACTGGGCCAAGGACTACCGCCTTCCTCCACACCATGGTGGGCAAGCTCACGTCGCACAATCAGAGAAGGAGGATGCTGCTCTTTTCCTGGTGTGTGCGTCGAGCCGCAGCAAGAAGCAGGGGAGGGTGTGAAATGTCCAAGCTTTCCCCTATCCATGTCGGCTGGCTCCGCACACCTCCACCTCGACAACCATGTGCCCACGCCTTCCTTAGAAAAGGCGCAGACAATGACAAGATCAACATCTGGTACCTCAACACCAGTGTCACGCACCACATGACTGGTCGATGCAAGTTCTTCTCTGACCTAGACTTCGGCGTGAAGAGCTCCGTCAGGTTCAACGACAACTCCACCGTTGAGATCAAGGGAGTCGGCTCGATCATCTTCAAGGACAAGACTGGGGAGCACCGCCTCCTCACCGGCGTGTACTACATCCTGACCTTGAGGAACTCCATCATTAGCATCGAGCAGCTGGATGAGAATGGCTCACGGGTGGAGATCGAGGATGGCATGTTACGCATTTAGGATAGAAGCTGCCGCCTTCTCACCAAGGTGAACCAGGGAAGCAACCGCCTTTACATGCTCCATGTGCAGGTGGTGCAACCCCTCTACCTTGCCACGCGCCAGGATGATGAGGCAGGCGCTGGCACGAGCATTTCGGGCATCTTCACTTTGAGGCCTTGAAACAGCTCGGCAAGTAGGAGATGGTCCGCGACATGCCCTGTGTCGACCACGTCGAGCAGCTCTGCGA